CAAATAATTTTTTTGAAGCCAAATCACTTTTATCTTTTAGCTATGCAATTAATATTAACTATCAATTCAACCTTTTTTAAATAAATTCAATCAAGTATGTCCTCTTATTTTCTTGTTTATGATAATAAGAATAATCTATCTAAATTTCATAATATTTTAAATTTTGAATTTAAGAATAATTTATTCTATTTCAAAGGATACTTATATGTTTTGAAAGATGAAATAAAATTATATATTCTTCAATCTTGTCATAATTTCTCAATTGTGAGATATTTTGAATATAGAAGATTATAAAACTAATATCTAAAGATTTTTTGTAGTCTCAAATATGAAAAATAATTAAATACTATATAATTATGTGATATTTTCTTAAGATCAAAAACTCCTTATCATTGAATTTATAGACTTCTTTAGCCATTATCTATATTTAAAAAATCCTATTTTTATATTTTTATGTATTTTATTATAAATCTTTCAGTTTCAAATTTTTATGACTACATATTTGTAATAGTAGATTGTTTCATCAAGACGGGACAATTTATACTATATACAAAGTTTATCACAAGTAAAGAAATAGCTAAACTTTTTTTTGACAATATTTATTACTATCATAGATTGCCAAAAGATATTATATCAAATAGATGGATTCATTTTGTATTAAGGTTTTAAAAAAATCTTTTTAAGATTTTGAAGATAGATATAAAACTATCTTTGATTTTCTATCTTCAAAGTGATGGACAAATAAAACAAGTAAATCAAATTTTGGAGCAGTATTTGAAATGTACCATCAACTACCATTAAGATGATTGGAAAATTCTTGTCATAGACAAAGTTTGCTTATAATGATACACTATATTTTTCTACTCAAAAAATATCCTTTTATGTAAATTATGGTTATCATCTACAATTTGATACTTTTAACTTCTCAAAAGTTGATAATTTTGAGGCAAAAGATTTGAAAAATTATTTATTAGAGCTACATGCAATTATAAAGATATAACTAAAAAAAGATCAATTACATCTACCAAAGTCTATGAAGATTCATCTTGTATTCCACGTATCTCTTTTCATGCCATATAAGATAGCCAATATACTAGGAAAAAGAGAAATGCCACCTCCTTCTATACCGATAGACAATAATGAAGAATTTGACATTGAAGAAGGCTTAGACTTAAGGTGGTGTTGAAATGGGTTGGATTATCTTATTTATTAGCATGGATATGATATTAATGAACATACATTGAAGCTATTTAAAACTTTTGCAAATACAAGAAAGAAGGTTGATGCTTTTCATTCACATCTATTAAAATTAAAATGATAAAATCAAGTAAGATAAAAGAATCAAGATTTAGTGAAGATTACATTTTATGTTTAAGCTTTGTTTTTGATTTTGTATATTTATGATATCAAGAAGATGGAGAATCAACAACCAATAGATTAGATTATATGGCAAATATAATATATTACATTTTGGACTTTCTCAACAAATGATTATTATTCTTAGTAGAACTTGTCTATATAAAAGAGGGTAATGTCATAGGCATATATAATTACCTAAATAAAAAGAATTAAGTATAAGATAAATAAAGGCAAATTTATTAATATCTTGAGAAAAAGCTTTATAGAAGCTTCATAGATAAAAATTTGATTTTAGACATTGTCATATAATGTGAAGTCCTGCTTGAAAATGCACTAGGCATTTGGTTTTGAAAAATAAATTAAAAATTATAACTACAAAGTTTTAACAATTCTAATATAAACTTAAGTAAATTCTAAATAAAATTTAACAATTTTAATCAAATCCTAATTAAATCCAAAAGAAGTCTTAAAAAAATTATAAAAAAAACATAAAAATTTTATAAACTAATTTCAAAGAAATATAAAAAAGAAATAATAATAATAATAATAATAATAATAATAATAATAATAATAATAATAATAATAATAATCTCAAAGAAATAATAAAAAATCTTAATGCAATATCAAAAATAAAATTATAAAGATATAATAAAAAAAATCTTAAAGAAATTTTAATTTTTAAAAATATTTATGATAGAAATATTAATTAAATTCTAAATAAATCCTAATATAGTTCTAAAAAAATCTTTAAAAATTCTAATAAAATATTAAAAAAATTATTTGTAAATTCTAATCAAATCTTAAAATAAATCTTAATAAAATCAAAAAAAATACTAAAAAAATTCTAAGTAAATTCTAAATAAATTTCTATAACTATTTTAAAATCTCACTAATTATTAATAAAATAATTTATTTCGAATTTAAAATTTTCTATATTTTAATCTTTAAGCAAAAAAATAAGCATAAAAATTTTAAAATAAACCAAACTTATCAATTAGAAGAAAGAACTTCTAATACTCTTCAGTATCAACCATTTATTATGAGTATATATATATATATATATATATATATATATATTTATTTATTTATTTATTCTAATAATTATGTAGATAATATGAATAGATAGAAATAAATAAAAGTAAATAAATTTGATAATATCTTATAAATAAGTTTCCTAAACACTTCAGAGACCTAGTTTTATCTTTATATATGTCTATAGGTGATTGGTAGGTTGAAAACTTGGCCACTAAGTTAGCCACATATTAGATGTGTTGGTATCTTATAGTATAAGCTAATCATATGGCATATATATAGGAAATTGTTTTTGCAAGTTTAACATATACTATGCAAGTTGAACACATGTTGGAGGTCCTATAGAGCATTGCCACATAGCTCCTAATTAGATTGTATATATAGAGATAAGAGTGAGGCCTTCCTTACTCTTGTCAACTCCTTTCTTACTTCTAATTTTGATTTCAAAAGTCTCTAGATTTCTAATCTTTGGCAATAGCTATTCTGGTTTTTTCTTGAATATATATATTTTGCAAATAAATGGACAAAGTATAAATAGGACTAATCAAGGCCATTTTGATATTTGATTAGATATGGCTTCAACTAGATATAACTTTGGTTCTTTTCTTTCAATAAAGTTAGATTTGTATTTTATTTTATTTTATTTTGGTCTACTTTTTCTTTCATTATTTTATTCTATTTTATTTCTATCTGCTCTGTCCTACCTTATAATGGAATTTATGTTTCTATAGATTAGAAGGATTTTAGATCTTATAGAGAGATTAGTTCCGTTTCATCTCTTTGATGTATATCTCATTTGTTTACATATTTTCTTTGAATTCTTATCCTTAATACTATCTTCTTTCTTCATTCTAAATATTGGTCTTTTAGTAGTAATTACTTTTTGTTAAACAATTCAATTGCTCTTCAAATTAGCAAAAGAGTAGATACTCAAGTCTACTATGTTCTTACAAATCTTTGCTTCAATCAAACTAGTGGATTTTTTAGGATTACAAAAAATCTCATTGATCCTAAAATTTAAATATCCAAGATCTTAATTTAAAAAACTCCCATATCCATCAATCTAACCATTTGCTTGATTCAAAATTTGTACAACAATCTTAAGATAAGTATAATGACACATTTACAAAATTTTACTTGTAAGTTGGCAACAATGCTTATAAAATCCTCAAATATGTTATCTTTTTTTTTTTTATTTCTTAAAATCCAAAATAAATATATACATCTCTTACTTTGAAAATCTCTCAAAATTTTAATATGCATCAAAATTACTTGAAAATAATTCTAAAATAACTCTACAAAGTCCGCTATTTAATTTTTTTTAATTTAAAAAAAAAAAAAAAAAACTAAAACTAAAACTAAAATACCATAGGAGTGCAATTTTGTATCTTAGGGTTTGATTGTGATCCTAATTTACAACTAGTTCTCTTTTGATACTAATTCTTGGTTTCTTAAAGTGATTTTTACTACAAACTACTCTCAACTCTCTTCTAAAGATGTTCAAAATATTTGTTTTTTTAATCTAATTTATTTTTTCTTATTTATGGCCATACAAAATAAGTAGAAGTTTTTTTTAAAAAAAGTAGCATTAATGTTAAAAGTTTTTACTACCTTCCTATCTTTTATCCATGTTTTGATATTATATCTTTCAACTAGGCTCTTATATAATAAAATTCATATTTTTATCTTTCACTATATAATTGTATTATAAACTTACTAATCTATATAAACTTATCATGTTCTATAATTAATACAATTTTATAATAGTGTAGCAAGTAGATTCTAATTTGGTAATAAATAATAATTCCATTTACAAAAAAAACATATTCCATATTTTCTAAACTTTATTAACTATAATTTTATTAAATGGAAATTTGTAGAGATTCTTCTTAGTCATAGCATTGAAAAATCCATCAAAAGTTTAGAGATTTTTATTATTATTCTTTGAAAGTTAAATATTTATGTATTTTGGTCTATAAATTAGATATAATTATTTTTAAACAAGTAGTCAAAATAAAGTAAAAATTACCATCAAGTAAGGTCCCTAGAACATATCTTCTTCATTGGCCACATCATGCCTTCAACAAACATGAAGTTTGCTTTCTGTGCAAGGGGCTGAAAATTTATATCGATTCAATTGCAGAAACTTTGTACTAAAATAACGACAAATCGTTGAAACTACTGAAACCCACATCAACCACCACCTGAAATGTGCAAGACTATGAGCAAGTTTTAACGAACTAAAACAACGATTCCAATGGAACCTTTACTCTAGATTAGTGCTATCCTTGAGACTAATTGTGACAATGCGCTTGTGTGACTAATTGCATTCCACACATTTGTTTAACAGAGTCGCTCCTGCACTCAGATTACAAACAATTGCATCATCATCAAAATGTATGTGTATATTCACGCATACATACATGCTTTGCTTAACAATTTCAGTGCGAGGTTGTGAAAGAGAATTAAAAACATATATTTGTATAATGATATGTATACTTTATGAAGGAACTGATTATGGGCAAGTTTCTTACATGTAACAACCATTCATGCCTCTACACTTCAATAGTATGACTTTGGATTGATTGTTTCTCGAAGATGTTTGCTTCAGACACAAAAGTTGGGTTGTTTGGTCATGGCATGGCATACGTGTTTTTCTGCGTATCACAACACGGTAGCACTTCGAGGAAGACAGTGGTGACAAACAGCCTGGTTGCAGAACCAACTGTTTGAAGTGAGAGTAAACGAAGACTTTTAACCATTCAAGACGAGGCGCACTGAATGAACATCGTCAGGATGCTGCAAGTTGCATCGAGGTGGTAGCTCAACATGGTCTTGACCCGGTGTTGTTGCGACACGGTTCAGCAATAGATCGCAACTTGGGGAATGATGATGGTGTCTGCGAAGTCTGGAGGTTACGCTGAGTTTTGTGTTTTTGTTAAGTTTCTTCAGCTCGTCGGCTTCCAGGGTGGGTGTGGAGTTGGTTCTCTGTCTTGCACTTGTTTTTAATCTGCGTGAGCATTTTTGCGATCCCTCGGGGCTGTTTGGAGCCCCGGTGTGGGTTGCAGTGTGTAGAAACTGCTCCTATGAGCATGCAGTTAGAAAATTAGTCTTTGATCGAAAGTAGATGGCAGCTGCTGTGTGCACAGTGAAGATGCACCTTTTCTGGTTTTTTTCGAGATTTGACTTCCTTCTTTTATGTAACCGAAAGGGAGCTGAATTAGATAGCTTGAGGTCTGGGCCACTGACCGGTTGGATATAGATAGAAACACTATAATACGAGCCATCAACTGATAAATTCTAATCGTCATCGAAACATAGTAAAGATACTATTAAACTTGCGAAATGAATTACACTTGACTCCTAAAAATCCGATTAAAATGCTCAGATTCGTGAAGAATTAAATTTCGATGGTGACATAAGACAAGGAGTGTAGATGAAGCAGTTGCGACAGCGACTAAACCACAGTTTTTGTCTTAGAATAAGGCGACTGATGGCCGTTTGAAAATGAAGAAAACATAATCAGCTTTGTTCTGGTTCTTGTCAGAATGGAGCATCGTGTGGGTTATGTAGGTTCTTTAATGCAGCTTCCCCAATGTGAAGATTTATAGGTGTATACTAGCCATAAACTTGACCCAATTTGGACAGAAATCTTTTGTTTTGCCATACATGTTCCAAAGATCTGATTCTTTGTGGAAAACAACCTGATTCTTTGTGGGGGCTAAGAGTCACACAGGTTTTGATAGACGAGTAGTAACAGTGTCTGTTTTGCAACAATTCATCTGTGTATTTTGATGCGTTTCTGGTTTATAGGTACGAAAGTCTCAACTACCCGGTTCTTAGTTCGGAGGAACAATTCACGGATTGACAGTTTTCATTTTTTTGTTCATCTTCCTACAACCACTTCTTCAGGAACCCTTTCGGATTGATTGCATGGACTACTTACCGGTTGGACTGGCAATTAGAACGCGATAAATTTGTATCAATGTAAACCTTTGGTTTGAGTCACTTGTCACAGCGGGATATGGTTAGTTCCAGCACGCTAAGAAACTGGCTCGTACTTCCGATATGGAAGAAAGTAGTGGTTGAATTTGGCAGAATCATGTGTTAATGGACGATAGTATAGCGCTGGGTAGTGATTAGCTGTCTTATGGTTGTGGTGAGTAAATACCCCAGTACTGAATTACCAGATATGTCCTAGATAACCTCCTTCTTGCAGCAAGTCTGCTCTTTCTTTTACACCATTTTCTGATAATGAGCATCCTTTGTTGATGCACTCACTGGTGAGTGTTTCCAGGATATTTTCTCTTCCATGTTTGTCTGAGGCTGTCCAAGGGGTCTTGTCTTCGACCTTGCGAAACTTTACCTTTGGAATGATCTGTGACAGGAGTGGTGAACTTTACCTTCCGTTTGACTCTTGCTTAAGTCACTGCCGGCATAACGCCCAGGAATTGAAATGCAACCTGGACGGTTTATGTGCTTTGACCCTTGTGAGAAACATAGTTCGGGCTCTTTGCTCATGTTCAGGTTCACGTTAATGATTATTTGAATGAAGATGATCACGGTCTTCCAGCAAGATCCACTCAGCCCGGTTGGTTTCAGTACTCTACCTTCTCACATGCTGTAGTCCATGATTTAGAAGATCTGACATTGAAGTGATTTAGATATTTGTGTTGTTAATTTTCGAACAGAGTGACTGCTGGTGATACTGTTTCAATACAGGTAACATGTTTTCATCGCTCCCATTATTGCTTTCCTTGGTTACACTTGTCACAGTTACTCGTGGGTCCCGCTCATGGCTGCTCACGGCTGATTCACTCACACTCTTGACCTCTCATGGTGCATATCCACGTGATGTAGTACAGATTTCACTCTGTTGGTTTTTATTTTTATTTTTTATCAAGACTGTAAAATTTTGTTGCATTAAACGCCTTGGTTGCCTGTTCTGCGGTAGAGGACTGTCTTGTGATGCAACTGGCAGTGCACAGGGAGGACAAAATTGTGGCTCTTGATGACTGTGCAGGGTAAGCACTTGACAAACCAATGTATGTTAGTGAACTTTATTTAACAAGTAATGTTAGTTTTAAGTCAAATAAAATAGAGGAAATAGAATACGTTGTTGTCGGATTGTTGTCTGATTCTGCTTCATCCACTTGCTACAGACAGTGCGATCTTCATCTCAACACAATCTTATCTGTAATCGAAGTAGGATCATCAATATGACCTGCAAAGCTTCAGCGTTTTACATGTCGTAACGTAAAAGAGGGTGTATCATGCATATTACAGAAAATATAACAAGCATCATGGCCTCTGCATATTCAGCTCTGACCCTGATTAATCAGCAGAGATTAGTACAGCTCCTATGTATATAGTACTCCTCTCTCCTGAATTTGTTACATCTCGGGGGTTGAGCCAGTTTAGGATACGAAAGCAGTCTAACCTGATTGTGAGTGATATTTACAGCACCGACTCGCGTGCTTGTACAGGACTCAATTCAGCCAGCTATCATGTAGAGGTTACTATTATTTTAATCGCTGGCTTTGTCCCTGTGCGTGATCAGCGGTATATGCATCACCTAAGCTGCTATTCAAACCAGATGTATCTCTCTTCACAATCTGCTTGCTAAAGTTAATTGCCATTTTTTTGTTTTATTTTGTTTTGTTAATTTTTTTGCACTAAAAGTGAATGGTTTCAAGTTTGTGCTCTTGATCCTGCTTGATGTCAGTTTGTGCCAGCATACGGTATGTTCATATTCATATGAAGGTCATTTAAAGGGGCCACAAGGTAGCTGTGCCGCTGTTGGGTATCATGTTCGCCATCAGTCAACGTGCAAAACTTCCCATGATCAGATGTGAGAGGGAGATGTTATGTGCACGTGAAAATCATTTGAGATCATCAGCCTATCAATTTTAGTGTAATCCACTTTATCTTGCAGTGCTGAGATGTTGGAGTGCATTCCGACTGTGAAGAGATTTCTGCAGCCATGGTCGTCAATAATATAAAAATGGAGATCGCAGGATAATTCTCATGGCGCACCTAAGTATCAATTACCTCACAAATAACTTAGTTTCACGGAAATGGTGAGTTATGACCGAGCGCAGGTTTTTTAATGTCTGAAGACTAATGCATCACAATTATTTTTGGTCTGTGAAGTGGTCTGATACTTGCGAGCCTTTATTATGCACTATGAAGGCGATAGCTTAGTTATTGTCTCCGGAAGTGTGCTGGCGGTGTTTTACCCGTTGTTCTAGCTCATCTCCCAGAGTCCGGCTATTTTCGTTTTTATGGTTTTTTTACTGGTTTTTCTTTTTTTTTCTTTTTTTTCTTTTTTTTATTTTATTTTTTTTACTCAGGGCACCTGTAAAGTCAAAACCACGCGCACTTGAAGTGGAACCTACTCAATCCATAAATGGGGGGAAGAGAAGACTGAATAAACTAGTAACGACATGACCTTGGGAGACTCGCTTTCGGCAGACCTGGAACGACGTCTTTCAGAAGTGACGATAGTGGGTACATACCTACGACTGGTCGGTTTCACACGAGGGAGGCAATACTCAAATCAGTGATTGGCACAGGAGGAGCGGCAGAGGCAGAGCAGATCAAGAGATGCAGCTTTGTGGGCTCCTGTTTGGGGCAACCAAGCGACCTTTCTGCTGTGGTTTCAACCCCTCTGCATTATGGTACTCGGATCGTAATATTGGCTTACCCTAGTGGTCAGGAGGTCTCTGAATCAAAATCTTGTGGGATAAAGTTTTCTGTTTCGTCATCTACACAAGTTATCGATTTCATTTCACCGGTCATCTTGATGGTTGCGAAATATGAAAAATGAATGAGATCTACACCCACCCACCCACACACACACACACACGTTTCACTGTTTCAATCTCCATCGAGAGTATGCTAAGATTGCAGTGAAGGTGCTAAATAGTAAGGATAGGATGGAGCTCTAAGGGGATGAGCCGGCTCCGCTGCCTGCAACCAGGTTGCACACAGACGGTAACAACATTAAAGAAGATCATTGCTCCCGTACGAAGGAATTCGTTTTTCCCTTAGAAAGCCCAGATCAGTGGGGGAGCCAGTAAAGTGCTGACTTCTCAGGACTCAGCCTGATCAATGGCAGAGCACGGCAGCCGGCAGCCGACGTTCTTATCGTTGGAATATTTATAACAGAAAGTTTGCCAGCGAGACGATCGTGTTTTTCCCTCTTGCAGTTTGAGCCATACAACTCTTGCAAACACAAATCCACAGGTGTTTGACGAATGTCTCAAATATCACCGCTTCGTGCAGCTTGTACCGCCGAAGCAGCCACGCTAATGATGAAAGCCTTGATTACTTTGCACCTCCTGATTCAGTGTGCCCATATAAGAAGTCCAATAAAGATCTGAGACCAGGTTCAAGGTGATGATTCAAGGCAGGGCACGGCATGGCACGGCAGGACACGCAGTTACTGCACTGCTTCTGGAATCTGGCCGCTGCTGGAATCTTCTACTACATCACTACCAACTGCTACTATTCATTATGGATTCAATGTTCCAAGACAAGCAAGTTGGAGACTAACCCCTCGACACACCTTTCCACTACTTCGCTTCAATGGTTAATCTTTTTGACACACAATCACCGAGTGTATCCTCTTCTAGCAGGAACCAGAGCAATGCACAGAACCATGCCATGCAACGCTCCGAACACACGAGACAGCGCCGAAAGCCCTGGCAGAGGGATTAACCTGCCCTCTCACCCAGCCGGACATGCCCATAAAGATTGACATTCCAGTTTTCCAAAGGACAGACAGTAAAAAAAAAAAAAAAAAAAAAAAAAAAAACACCCCCACAAGGAAAGAGGGAGTGGGTACAATGCATACAGATCAGAGGTAGGCTGTACTGCTAGTCCTTGCTGCGAAGCCCCTTCCAAATCCACTCTTATCAGCATCGCTGTGGCAAGCTAGTAAATGCAAATAGCCTGGTACCACCACCACATCGGAGGAAGCTCCGTCCTCCTCCTCCTCCTCTTCCTCTTCATCTCCCTCCTGTTTCTCCTCGTTCTGTGTAGAAAATGACAATGGATGTGTCAACACTACAGGTAGGCCCTCATCAGCTTATCTGGGTGACATCTTCCTTTGTGGCTCTGATCAGATGCCTGCGTGCCTGCCTGCTTCTGTGCTTGTTTCTGGTCTGATCAGGAAGAGAAATAAAACACCCACAGCACCAGATGGGACGGCTGCTCACCAGCCTTCTCGATCTGAAATCCTGGCACAGCTCCATATTTTATTCTTTGTTTGATACACTCTCATTTCTAGATATGCTGGAATCTTCTACTACATCACTACCAACTGCTACTAGATTCTGTGCTTGTTACCTAGTCAAAAGCCATTTGTTGTTGGAAAAAAAATATCTCTAGGTTTGAATACCAGCTGCTTAACGTAAATACGGTCAGTGTATTTTTATTTTTTTTCAAGTTAGAAAGTAGTGTTTTCTAAAACGAGCACATGTTGATAGTTTTTTCGTTTTCTTCGTTTTCTTCGTTTTTTTTTTTTTTTTTTTTTTTGAAAAGAGTATTACTCGCAGATGGAGGTGAGAATCTCAAATGATTTTTTAAAAATAAATATGCTCCTGGTTTCGAGTGAAAATAATTATAATTAAAAATATATTAAATATTATTTAAATAAAGATATCTTATATTTTTTTAAATAAAAAATAGAATTTTTCATTCAATAACTATTATTTTTGATATTTAAAACATGTAGAAATTATATCAAAAAAATAATATTTTAGATCAATATTTAAAATCAATTGTTGCTGGATATAAAAGATTAGAACATAATGGTTTAATATACTGTAAGTGTTGTATTAATAATAAGGTTTCAATTAAATCCATGTTTACTTTATTCTAGCAAAGACACAAAAAAATTCTAAAATTTTATTATATTAATTTCAAAACATATAATCTTAAAAATTAAATTTATCCAAAAATTAATAAAACTTAATGATTATATTCTCTGTATATTGAAATTTGAATTTAGAAATCTCTTAAACATGTATTCTTTAAAGAAGTAAGTAATAGTGGCGGTTTGGTTTGTAGAACTAAAGCACATGTGCATACAGACAATAGGGATGGTCCAAAAACATCTATAAGAATTAATCTAATAAGGTGACAATTTTATGACACCTTCAAAGTACTTATATATATATATATATATATATATATATAAAAAAAAATTAAACATCACAGTTCAAATAGGATTTTAAAAAAATAAAATAAAATAAAATAAACAAACATATTTGTGTGCATATTTGCACTAAAAATGACATGATTTAGTTTCTAAACAGTAAATAAATAAATAAAAGTGTTGGAAAGTTATTGTCCTCCTCTTATTGAGTCAATAGAAGCATGTTTATTCACCACACAATTTGCAACTATTGCAAACGAAGAGGAGCATAGTTGCCACCTGTGAGTGACAACACAACCCACTCACCAATTCCCACACATACACACCAAATCCCAAGCTAAGTGAAACCGATGTTTCTGGCTGGGTTTCTCCTTCATCGTGAGAACTCTAGGCTGGAGGCACCCTCCGAGTTTGTAGTTTGCAGTTCTGAGGAATCCAAACTGGGAAGGCTAGGATGAGAGCACATCATAGAGACTCGGATCATAGGAAACGGGTCCATACAGACTGTGGAGACAGAAGAACGCAGTTACGCAGCGCAATAAATGGTGTACGAGATGCTGGGTGGAGAGATCAGACCCAGAAGGGAAGAGACAGAAACAAGGGAAAGAGTGAGAGCTAGAGAGATGGCCTGGTGGCACAAGCAGACAGGAAGTGAGCATTCCGAGGAGATCATCAACCCCTCCCAGGAGGAGCAATAGCAGTTGCAGAAGCAGCAGCAGGAGCAGAAAGGAAAGCAAAGGAAAAGAAAGTCTACAATAAAAAAGAGATTGCAAATCTGCATAACTGTGGCTACCCTCCACTCCACCCCAACTCCCCCCCCCCCCCCCCCCCCCACTCCACCCCTACTCCTTCAATGCCCTGAGTACTCTCTCTTTGACCTCCCCGCTGGTGGTGGTGATGTCCTCCCTCTTGTAGCTTGTCCTTGTGGTACCCTTCTCACCCCACCTCAAAGCTTGCGACGCTCACAGGACCAGTTCCCATCTTGGCCCCTACACTCTACTCTGCTAGCCTCTGTCTTTTCAACTACTAGCCTCGCAATCTCACGTTTCCCAATGCGATTCCCCATTCATTGCTTCTGGTGCGTGCCTCGCAGCTCTGCGGAAAGTCTGCAAGTGCTGTGAACTGAAGAACCTTGGCAGCAGCCGCAGCAGCTGCGGCAGAAACCGCAGGTTCTGATTCCAGCTCTAAATTATTGCCGAGGTCCATTCAGGAGTGCAGAGAACGGGAAAGGCCCCGATGCCTTCCTGCGTGGCACCAGACTTGGGTTGTGATGCTAAAGCTTGCATTTTAGAATGGCTGAACGAGCTAGATTGGATATGTCTGGGTTTATTTTCATCTTTAGTGAGAAAGGTGTGATTTGGACTGCTGACACAGCAAAACTACATGGAAACTGGTTTTAAAATTCCATCTCGCGACTCCTTTGGAACAGGAGTAAAGGCACATAATCCCACCCCTTGCATACACTTGTAGCAATGAGGTGAGGCGGAAGAACATGGCTATTGTGTTGAGCGGCATGTACGTAAAACACAGTTGCACTGCACAGCAGATTCGACCCTTTACTTGCTGATGCAAAATCAGCAAGTTCCATGATTAATGCTGGCAGTGGCTCGCAAATCCAGATGGTCCCTGAATCAGATTCTTGTGATTCCAGCACAAGTGCTGATGTTTGAGGATGTCACTGCTTGTGATTGTAGAAGTTAAAACAAGAATCACAAATAGTTTTATGTGTTCATCCTTCTACTGATACTCCACAAGTACATGTTGCAGTAAGATTTGCTCACAACTTCGAAAATTGAGTTGCGCGAAAAAACTTGATTCAGGCATGCATATAAACGTATTGACACTGGCGGGGGTTACATTCGTTGCAGAAGTTGGCTGGGAATCAGACATGGCAAGAGTTCAAGCAGACTAAGTACTCTCCTTCACACTTCCGCCTAGTGGTTTCATTGTCCAAGTTCTCGAAACGAGATGACTTCTAAGTTATGAGTATATAATTTATCGTTGATAAGGATTGCATGTACTTTGATTACTTTATCGATAATTGAGTGGTGGCAATGTACAACAGAGCATGCATCTAGCTGTTGAAGAATTCCCCCAAAGCCAAGTATTGGTGTATAGCTAACTGCCACACCTTGACACTATTTACAGTGGAATCTTCAGATCTGAACCACATCCTCGGCCATACAACCTTCTTCCGACACCTGAACTCGGATTCAATGTGCAGCCACAGCTACCAGTCTCGGCCGGGTTGATTGGATGTCCATTATGATATGTTGGACAAAAACTAGAGCACACGGACCCACACACCTCGAGAAGGCTATATAGTACGACCACACATTTCAACGATTGCAACAGAGCTGTATAGCCGTAACAGTGAAACTCGAACCGTGTCTGTCAGCTCAATCCCCCCACCAGGAACTTCGACACTAAAGTATCTCTGCTCATCCGCCTGTCGCTCCTAGATTTTTGAGCTTTCGTCGAAGTAAGCGCTGATCGTACTAAGCCACAGAGGTAAAAGAAAGGAAAATTAAGAAAATAAAAAGAAAAGAAGAATGCCTCTGATGATCGATATACAACTCGCACTAAACCCATGATATTGGTGTTGAGGCCTTTAGTCTTCTAATCAATCAAACCCATACTTTTTTTGTAATTCACAAGCTGTGACTACTGTCTGTTAATTCTCCTATGTCTAGTCTCAGTGTTCAATCTGCGCTAATAAATAGTGCACCCACACACTCCACACCTTCTCTTGCATACTGTTACAATAGAGTGGAGCATTGTTTCCCAATATACCCCCTCTTCCCATACACGCCACATAAAAATCCAATACATGAGTTGCCTTATTTCGCTCTGTGACTGCCAACTGCTAAATGCGGGCCAAAATTATACTCTACGGGGTCAAACCAGCAAGCTCTCAATAAGCTGTGCAAGTTATATAACAACTTTGTTCGGAGGTATGCACCGATCCAAATTAAATCACGATCCGCAAATGTTCACCTGCGGAAACGAGCGTGAAGGGGTCGGAGTAGTTTCCAGCTCTTACAATCCATGCTTAATTTACGGCATGAAGTATCTGTTGCCGCATTTGCACCTCCAAACTTCGGGGTAGTATTCCTGCTGTGTCAATGCGCCGTGAGGACTTCCATACGACATATGAATTGGACTGCATGGGATACAACGTCCACATTTCCCTTGGCAGGTCGGAGGAGACGATCCAACCAGCAGTCTGTGCCCATATATAGAATCGGCGTTACTATTCACTGGATCTTTGAAGCCTGGAAATATCTTTCTGTGAGATGGGGGGGTTCTGTCCTGCACCATTGGCGCCATGAGCATTATGAGATTGATCTTGCAGCCCACGACGGAAAATGCTTTGCCCAGCGAGTTGAGGAATTTTGACCAGCTGGAATACTTCTAAGAAAGCCTGGTTCTTAAAGAAGGAATACTCAATAATTGCAATCAGAACAACTTCAATATCAACTAGTAGGTTACTCTCTCCAAGTCATGCCATTCATCATCACATGTCCTCATGGGGCGGCGTTGCTTACAACCATGAAATACAGTGGTTATGTACGATCCTTCTGAAGTAGTAAAGATTGATTATAATACTATGTGGTTAAATGAATTCTGCTAGTCTTTAAAATTCTCAGTTCTAGGGGCTGAAAAGCAAAGCTAGCTACATTCATGGAATTCTGGAGTAACACTTCGTTGAATCCACATGGGTTCTTTCGTGCCACTCCACGATCATGCTTCAAAATGGTAAAGTCGGGCCATGACAAGAGTCTCAGTATGAGCATGAAAGGAAAATCACCTGAAACTGGCTTCCATCATCCAACGCCGAGCCTTCTAAGACTCCTCCTTGGCTTGCTACACGCCTGGCGGCTGGAACCTGGACTGGTCTGGGAGTGTGCATTGAGCTTGCCGGCGGTCCAGCTGAAGAGAAAAAAAAGTAATAAAAAAAAGGAAAGGAAAAATATGCCGTTGTTAATAAGTTGCTCACATTACAACACTACCGCAAACAACATCCCAACCACATTTGATGAGCTTGTTTCGAACAAAATGCTAAATCGAACGCGACTTAGTGGACTTCCAAGAGGACAGAAAACCCAAAGTTGCCAATGCAGTGAGCCGCCCAGGTTGAGAGTAAACTACCAGGTAGATATTGTCGTCCAGCGATGGTTTGTTGGGGAAACATGGTGAGCAGAAGGAGAGCAAAAAAGGTAACTAATGCTGTAGCATTTGGCTTCGACATCTCCGGCTGCAATGTTGAACTTGCCTGTGTGTCGGAGTAGTGTCTTCAGGTTCAACAGGTGGGAAGCTGGGAGCAGAAAATTAACGTTTTTCACAACATTCTTTAAGCACGAAGCTAGTCAATTTTCTTGAACTTAAATCCTATCATCCCTCTTTGAATCTCCTGAACTCAACTGGAACCAGCGGCATCCGCGTAGTCACCAGTTTCCAAAAGGGCCTGGTTGCAGTGGCACCACCAAGGACGGGGCCTAACGGACCAATCGAGGAAGTTATAATACTAAGCTCCAAGGAAGAGTCATGGCCACGTACAGATGCCGGTTCCGCAACCGTTGGAGATAACGCAAGACTGTGAAGAAGTAGCAGCAACAACAACAGCAGTGTTACCAGCAGCTGATAGAATAACTGGTATTCTTCCGATTTGAAGGAGCGGGCCCTGCTCCCCGGAACCTGGTCGCATCTATTATCCTACTCGTGCATGGTGCGAACCCATGTGGAACTTCAAAAAGGACGAGGCGCAGCTTCTGGTATGGCACCTTCCAATTGACTCGTCTGCCCCACCCGACTGCCCCCTCCTTCCACTCGCAGTACGCACTCATTACCTTGTGGTACCCATAGGCCCAGCTACGGTTGCTTGCACCAGCTCGAAGCGACCAAATATACCATCACGGCAGGGGCTTTGTCATGCAGTAGTAGCAGTAGTAGTGGTAGTAGTAGCAGCAGGGGGGGGGGGGGGGGGATGATCAGGATGATTAGGAGGGGCAAGGCAGGGAGGGAGGGCCCAGCTAGCTCAAAGGCGAGGCGACGCAGCAGCAGGAGATGCGATGCTACCCCCAGATGATAGACCAAACCATAGGGTGGGGTGGGGGGGGGAGCGAGAGAGGGGGGAGATCGACAGCCATGCTGGGGTGCAGAGGCTCATCACACATGAACCTCTCCCTTCCGTCTCTCGAAATGAAGAACCAGGGGGTACTTACTTCTGTCAGTCGCAATGGGACTTGGGCTCTGACATCCCCCGCCACTCTCCTGCGCCAGTGTCCCCCTGGTTTTTTGCCTCCCCCTTCCCCACCTCCTCCTCCTTATTACCTCCTTCCCTTTTCCTGCTCCCTCTTCCTCTCCCTCGCCCTCCCTCCCACCTGTACTGCCTGCAGTCAAACCGCCTGGCCCTGCCTCCTCTCCTTGGGATTGGATTTGACCCCCCCCCTTTCCTTCCTTCCTTCCTTTCTTTCTCTCACTCCCCTCCCTCCCTGCTGCTGCCGAATTCTTACTCCTCCCTCCCCTCCCCTTCCCCTCCCTGCAAGGAGCGGCGGAGGAGGGAGGGAGGGAGTAGTAGTGCTGTGCCCCCAGATTATTCATTCCACTGCAGACCAGCAGCAGCAGCAGCAAGGAGAGAGACGAATTCTGGCTGTAATGCCCCCCCCCAATTACAACAGCCCATGTGCTCTCTCTCACTCTCGCTCTCTCACTCGTTCTCGCTCTCTCTCTCTCACTTGAATCTAATGCATTCTGCTGCTGCTGCTGCTGTTTAACATAACATGTGCGCGTATTCGAATGTGAAGTATGGTTTATGCATGTTTTTACCCACAACCAGGCCCCTCCCCTCCCCTCCCCTCCCCACCCCTCGTGCACTCACTAGCACAATGTGTGTCTGGTGTGGGACTTGGACATAGGACATTTAAGCCTTCCCTTGCCTTCCCTTGCCTCACGCCTTTCCTTTGTTACTGGCATCCTGCTTTAGAGGGTTGGGTGTGTGTTTAGTGTCGCTCCACAACTTGGCTTCATGCGCTCTTTACTATTTCATTATGGTGTTTGTTTTTCTTTCTCTCTTCATTCTCAAAGGTTCCTTCGTTTTCCTCGTTTTGAATACTTCCAGTTTCACATGTTTCATAAAATCTCTAAGGCCGGAAAATTTGAAAAGTAAGTTTTATACATACATAAATTGATTTACCCGATCACAGAATATTAACATTATATTAGAAAGAATAGTAAATTTTAATATTACAAATTTTATTCGTTTCTATTTTATTTCTATTTATTTCTATTTGCTTAGGTGATTTGGACATTACTTCTATTTCTGAGGACAATATTAACAACAAGGAATCAAATTAATTCAAAAGTTGATAAAATCCAAAATCCATCAAATTTTGGTCTATAAATTACACAAAGATGGTTGATAGGTCCTTTGTGCAACTCCTAATATCACCAAGCAACAAGATTTACTTCTAAGATTGTATTACCACATGCATTGTATTGTTTTATCTATTTGAAGACAAACATCTTTTTCTTTAGGATCTTCAACTTGCTTTAAAGACCACAATTGTAAACATTAAATAGTACTTTAGAATTTTTAAGTTATTGAAAGAATATTGGGTTTTTTTTTACAAAAAAATAGTGACTTTTTTAAAATTCAAATGATTTTACTTGAAAGAATAGCTAAGTTTGTAATTATTAAATTTTATTTTATTATTTTAAAAATAAAAAATATAATATGATTGCATATGTAGACATATATATATATATATATATATATATCTTCTAAAAATCACGACTTCTATTCATTATCAATGTAAATATTTTCGTCATTTATTTTTGCTTTTCTATTGTGAATATTTAGAAGGTTAAAATAAATAAATTACTTGAATGCTTAATGCATTTTTCTGAAAATGTTTTAGATTTAATTAATGAAAAAATGATACAGATTTTCCGTTAAAATTTGCAACTCCTTATCTAGTGTACACAATCTTAAAATCACCATACTTCAAGTCCTTAAAATGCCTCAAAAAGAAAAGATTGGATGACACAAAGTTTGGATTTAAACAAAACTTGCTAATCATTGAGATTGAAGGAACCACATCAAATCATTAGTAGAAACATGTTTAAGTAAGAGCAGCATACTAATAAAAAAAAACTGACCCATGCATATTCGGAAGTTTATAAATAGTCATAATGAAGCTGTCATCGTTTCGTAATTTTCATGGGTTTTCTATTGAAAGCAAGACCGGCAAGCATGTTCTATAAAATTGTCACAAGCAAGAGTTTAACAAGCATGGGATAAACTACCTTGGAAAAGAACTCTACAGAAAAGTTACAAACTAGAAGAAAGCCAAGAGATGATTGTCTCTCAAATTGAGAAGTAGACAAAACCGCAGTGCCATTATCTTTAACAAAATTTTCATGTACAAGCATGCGCTTGCTACTCAACATGTATCTATATGACAACAACCACATCAGAACCAGGCTGTGAACAGGTGATCTAATCTACGTTTGCTACATCCTATGAGACCTCTACCTTCTAAAAACGCATGCAGCAATGTACCTTTTTCCAAGTGAGACATCCATATCCTGGCAGGTCAAAGTGTGCAGGATAAAAACAAAATCGTAACCATGCAATACACATTGACCTGCACTGTTGATCATGTCCCACAATATTGGCATTGAATTGAGAAAACATGTATTTCTTCACTTCTTGCCACCAAAGAGGGACTTGAAGCTCCACGCTTCTTGTTTGCTTTCTTCAGCCTTGCCAGACTTGCTCTTCAAAGTCATCTTACCCAACATGGAATCAAGATCAAAGGTTTCTCTTTCTTCGGTTACTCCTAATCCTTGATTAATAACGTTTGACTGCTGCTTTGTACCAGCTTGCCCCGTTGCATCGTCAAGGCCTCCTTCTCCTTTCGGTCCTGAGATAGTAATATTTTTTGTTAGAAATAGATCAACACATTTTTATTAATTTCACTAACACAAGGCTCAACCATGTAGTGTACTCAGGGCTTCAAAATGAGAGCGAGGAAGTCGTCAGGAGCTTTCCAGTAACCAAGTCTTAGCAATCACTACTAGCTGAATTCTGGGAACAAAATATATGAACAACAGCGGATACTTCCAGGTGTTACAAGAACAGCCAGGGGTGAATTTTTACCAATAGGATTCATCATGTGACCAATTTGACCATCCTTGTATTCATAAGCAGCGAGAGCAATAGGATCCGTCAGCAAAGGCCTCACCTGCAAAAGAACCTCACAAATTAAACAACTTTAATATCCTCCACTCAATAGAACTAATACAATACAATATATTAATGTGACAATTAAACTAATATAATACAATGAGGAAAAAGCCAATTATAGACCAGTGAATACTACAATAAAGCTTTCTCTAAACTCAGTTCTCCAGGACATAGTTTCTCAAAACACATGTAATTTTTGCGTCGTTTCCAATTTCAGTAAACCAGAACATACCCCGTAAAGTCGGTGCTACCCGGTAAGCAAGAATGACAGAGTACTAATAGGGATGCGAAACATACATCCATCACAAATTTGGTGTGCTCGGGCGAGGCGCGGATATCATTCATGGCGACGAAGCTTTCATAGATCTCCCAAAAATGAAAAGTATTCTTGTCGAAGGCATCGACGTTGCACTCAAAGCCTTGAATCCCAGATCTTCTGTCATTCTGAACCATCCAAACCCCCGAACACACGTAAACCAGCTAAAATAAGAATACAAGCACGTAGGATTTAAGCTCTTTGATAGAAATTCCAATCTCCTCACGGGCACTCCTAGTGAGGTAATCAATCTAATGAGGAGCAAATCCCATCCTCAACAGGCGAGACAAATGCCATCCCGCCCTTACCATCTTCTCAAGGGCCCACTCCACAATGCTCTTGCACAAAGCAGTAGCCTCTTCTTCTTTTCCCGCCTCGATCTTCAATGTGGAGCTCAATGCGTAGCTTCTTCCCGTTGATATTCGCTTCGCCGCCTCAACCACTAGCCCTGTGGCTCTCTGCTTCGTAACGACGGCGGCAGTCTCTACCAAAACGACCCTCGTTCCCAAGTGACCCTTCCTCTCCGCCATCATCTTCTGCATACCACCGGGTGTTTTGGGGGCCCATCTAATGCCAGCGTTCGAAGCAGGGCTTGAGCCTGAGCTGGAGCACCCGCGGGTCGACCCTACAACATATGAGCTCTTCTCAGCAGCTAAAACTGCTCGCGCCTGCACACAAAAACCCGCCATCTTCTCTAACGTTGCAAGAACTTTACCAGTGTCTCAAATTCCTGAGTTAGAGACTGCTAATCTGGCCACCTACGCATGGCCCAACTGGGGCTGCAAAAAATTGTACACTGCTCGGAGGGCGCTGCGGCAATGAGTCACTTACCTCATCCTCGAAGCCCTTCAACACCCCAGATTATTACCCAACCGTAGATGATGTGCAAAGCTCTTACCTTTGGGTTGATTTTTTCACTCCAAATCTTCCCAGCAGCTTGATTGAATGAAATTCAGGCGGAGGTTTGGAACCCACTATCCACAACCAGATCAAGGGGCAGTAATCGACAGCCACGTGGGAGTCTTTTTTAATCTTTCTCAAACTTTGATGTGAATATCTACACTTTCATTCTGGGCTTTCCAGAAGTGTGATGAGCAGAATTGCCGGGACTGATGAACAGAGCGTGGTCTGCACAGGAAGTTTGGTGGCAGTGGATGAAACTCGATAAGCGGTTTGTAATTCATTCAGAGATGATGGTCCGCATCTGTTCAATTTACATCAGTGCTTAGTGTGTCTCCAGCTACTAACAAAAAGTCCACTGCGCATGCTTTACAATCCTTTATTCCTTGACAACTACCTATTTTAGTATCTATCCGGCAAAACGACAAAGCCATGAATAATTTAGAGGGCACATGCTACACATGACTAGATGAAACACATGGGATGGGTATAAGGAAATGAACCATGGAGCCTAATAAGCACTTTCAGGGTCATTAGGAATTTTTAATTTTTGATGTGGAATTGGTAAAAACCGAATCCCTTGCAAGCATCAACATTATCGAAATGTTCACCTGAAACTGACATGGGGGAGAGAATGCATGACTTTGTTACATTGAACGGTGGTCACATCGCAGGAGATTGCATAAGTGGTCAAATAGCTGCTCAGTCGAAGTGAGGCCTATTCAATACTGCCTTCTGACTGTTGACCTAGAGGAAATCTAATGCCACCAGGCCCAAGCCAAGCGCGACGTTGGGAACTACATTGTAACTCCAGGAACAGTGCCAATGTGGAAGGCACGTTCATGAAACTCACTAATGGTTACAGAATATGAAGATCAAGGCACAGTGAACTGTAGCTAAAAGCATACCTTCAGCTGAAAATCGACAGCTGCTCGTAGCTTCAAGGCTGCGCTCCATTCAAGCTTTCATAAACCACATGCAGTCTAAAAGTAGAATTCCTAAAACCTCATTGGGAAAACCTAAATCTATGAGCCAGCAGCTGGCTTGGCTTTCTTCGGTGCACGGTAAGTACCAACCACACAAGCATGGTCCCTCTCGAACGGCTCAAGAGTAACCTGCTCAGCAGGCTTGAATTGCTCCTTCTGCAACTTCTTCACCTCTGCAGCAAACACAGCCTCAGCAGGCACTGTCGAATCGATACAATTGGCCTTGATAGAAATAACAAAATGGCCACTGTTCTTCAAGAAGTTATGAGCATTGATTGCAACAATTCGAGCCTGATCAGGCTGCGCAACATCAGCAAAGATGACATCCACCATAGCGACCAACATGCGGTACTTCATCGGATGTCTAGCATCCTCAATGATGGGGATAACATTCGTACGCTTCTTCGCCATGTTCACTAGATCTCGCCCACTCCGATGAGAGAATTCGACAGCATAGACGATACCCGACGGTCCAACAACATCGGAAACATGCGACACAGTAGTTCCCGACGCAGCTCCAAGGTAGAGCACATGAGCACCGGGCTTAATCCAAATATTGTCCACTCCACCCAAGATGGCAGCCGCCAGCTTGGATCGAAACGGATTCCACACACGGTACTCTGTCTTGGTTCCATCCTCGTTGTCAACCGAAATGCGCTTCTCTCCATACACACTCTCTCCGGGGACCAAGTTCTTCGTCACAAGCGCGTCTTCCTTTGCCTTGGCAACGAAAACTCCCTCGTGCCTGTGTGGCTCGATGATCACCTTGGCTCCTCCTTTCATGCCACCGCCTCGTCCTCCTCCGCGACCGCCACCACGGCCCCCTCCTCCTCCTCTACCACCGCCTCGCATCCCTCGCCCGCCTCTGTCCCCGCCTCTACCTCCACGGCCACCTCCGCGACCTCCCCCATCGCCCCTGCCTCCTCCTCGTCCGCCTCGAAAACCCCCGCCGCCTCTGGTCAATGGAGGCCTCATCGTTGCACCCACTTCAGAATTGATGCAAAGGAAGGTGAGGAGAGCGCGGGGACGCTCGAGACAGACTCGCTGCAACCGCGAGGTGGAGGTAGAAATGGCTTCTGCACTGGCGCTGCCGCGACGACGACGACGAGCGAGGGAGCGAGGGTTTTAGGGTTTCCCTCCCTTCTCTCCATTGCGTTTGAATTTAATAGCCTCCTCGTCCACAACGCCCAAAGCCATGCTTAGGTTCATTCTTACTCTTATTCTGAATTATGTTTACGTGGAGTTGATAAAATGTAGTCGAAATTGTTGTTCGGTTCATTTCTTTGATGTTTATGGACCAGTTTAATTAGACTTGGATAGATGTTTTTGTGTGTTGCTTATAGTTGAAATAACTCATGTGTTGTATTCATGCATGACAAAGAAACAGAAAATGCTAAAACCATGTTTCATTAGATGGTTGATGTAGGTTTTAATGTTTAAATTGGTTCTTTGAGTTGTTAATAATAGAATTTGAACACATCACAAGGAAATAAAATATGAAAAATAAACCCAAACTAAAACCAGAGAACTGTTAACACCATATCCTCAATTGATATCGCTACACCCTGTAACCTCCTTGCGGACAACTAGCATCAACAATTCTTTAAAATTAATAGTATTCAGAACTTTAAAAAAAAAACAAAAAAAAAAAAACAAAAACGTTTATATCATATTTGAAAAAAATCCACAAAAATTATAATCATTGAAAAAAATTAATACTAGCCATATTGTAACTTTTAAATCAACTTAAATAAAATTTAGACATTACTTCCAAAAATTACAATAATTTTTTCCTTTAATACATTATTCCAAGAGTGTATAAAGTTTGTAATGCTTATAGAATTAAACCACACCAAGTTTATATAATCATAAATAAGAAAAATGAGAAAAATAAAATAAAATAAAACACACACTCACACACACACACACACAGTTTTATAATACACATTTATGTTTGTGTGTATATGTATTACACTAAATCAATCTATAATACATCAAATACTTTTGTATATTTTGATTCTTTTGATTTTTTTTGTTTGAATAACCAAAACATTTTTCATGTACAGGTAAAATTATTCTTCCAACTTGTATATATCATCAAATGTGCTTCTTTACAAACTTCTATTTTTTTAGCTACGAATAAATAAAAGTTTCTTTCTTGCTTTTTTCTTTATTTTGATTTAATTTTTTGATTAAAATATACATATATATATATATATATATATATATACATATATTGATTATAGACGTCATTTCTTAAATTTATAGGCCATATGGCAATCACCAACACTTATATTATTATATATTACAATAAAACATTTAGTCTTGTCAGATAAGTATTATTATTATTATTATTATTATTATTTCAAATTAACTGTAATTATTTTTGTAATTTTAATAATATATTTTATAAAACAGAATTCTAAAGATATGAGAATAATGTAAAGGCTATCAACTTATTTTAATTATATAATTACTTTTTTTCAAATTTACAGACAAGATTAATGAAATCCTAACACAAGTTTCTGAACAAAGTGATTGTTGCCATATTTCAGTTTTTTTTTCTTTACCAAATCATTTTTACAACCACAATTTATTTATTTTTAGTTTGACTTTGTAAGTCATAAAAAGATAAAGTTTAGAATTCATGTAATGCCACAATGGATTAATGAAGTTTAAAAACTATTTGTATGAACTCCCAAATCCCAAATTCTGCATCTGTAATTTTAACGTTCAGAAGTTACTCTTCTATGCAAAGTAGCAGATTGTTGGAACAATCAAACAATTGTCAGACTCAGCATTTACTGAAAAAACTGGTCGTCTATCCCATATGACTAAAAAAACAACTTCCACCTCGTGAGACTTAAGAGGGTGTTGTATGAGGTTGAAGGTGCAGCATGATCTCTACTACAAACCCCACCAGGAAACCAGAATTTAGCTAGAATCGAACTAAGTCATTTGCTTGGCACAATCCTCTGGGACTTGCTGTCTTTGGATGGATGTTGGAATTTGATTTTGCTTCACAGAGAAAACTCACTCACTCAGTGCAGAATTATGATTTGAAGTTGAATTAAAACTTCTGAACAGATAGTTTGGACATTTAAATCAGCTTTTCCTTTACCAAATGTCGGTTACCCCACCCATTGCAAACGGCAGATTCAATCAGAGAAGAGAACTCCAAAGTGAGCGCATGTTACTACCCACTAAAAAAATTAGTGGAGGGTTAAATATCAAGTAACGTGGAGACTACAAGGAACTCCGTGGAAATCCGCAGTATGTGTTGCAAGGTCTTGCATGTTTTACATCATCCAGTGCGCTTCAGTTCCTACCTGATTTTTACCTCCCCGAAGGATTCCTACGGGCCTCCTAGTGCAAGGGGATTGATAGACACTAGGTGGCAGAAAGGGAACGCACCAAACCAATAAAGTGAGATTATTGAGAACTTCAATGAAAACCACCAGTCGAAGAATAGATACTGCAAATTGAGACACGGTGGTTCAAACGTTGGCTAATTCGGTACAAGCGTAAAAAAAGAGTCAACCGCATTGGAACAACATTTGTATTATGATCGCCATGAAGTGCAGCATTCGGAGCAAAGGTTTTCACAAGTGAGTTCCCCTTGAAAAAAGGAAGTCACATGTTATCTATCTACTCCCTACGCAGTAGTGTGCACAAGTGTTGATTCCGAGTTGGATTTATGATATAAGAAATCTGATGGCATGCTAAAGTAGGTGTAAGAATCTAAGCAGCGCTGGTAATTAGCTATCAATAGACTGGCTTCTTTCTGGGACAATTTTCCGGCAGCTACAGAAGAACTTGACTGCGTTACCAACTCCTTCAGCAAGTCTGCATGAGAATGATGAGTGCCACCCAGCACCTCCCCTGCAGTCTGGCCAGGTAGTACAAAGTCTATTGCAAAATCGCCGTCCCCCAATGCTCGCAAATACACAATATTTACACCTCCAAATAGATTGTGGGCGCTTCCTAACATCTCCTGCACAGCCATGGAGAAATTGGTTGAATCAGTAAACGTCACACTAAGATGAGTTTGATTAGAGAAGACAAAGCTTGAGGCAAGATTTAATTTCTGAACTCATAAAACTTAGACAGGGAAGCAAAAAGTAATGAAAACTGTAACCATTCCTACAAAAACCTGAAGTCAAATAACTTAGGTAAAAGGGGAAAATATTCCTTTGACTAGGAATCCTTATGTAACTTGTCATAACCTTATCATGGTGAGGATACAGATCAGCTTACCTGGTAGACTCCACCCAGAAATAATCCCAGGTGATAAGGCTTTGCTTCTTGAAGGGAATGCAAGGCCAGTGCACGGCTCATCTCGCCTGACGGGCCAATAAAGCGATCAATCTTTCCGTCACTGTCACAGGTCAAATCAGCAAGAATAGCCTGGACAGTTGGCTTTTCATTTAAGCGGTGCAAAGGCATCACGGGAAATATCTGACTTATAGCCCATGAATCTGGTGCAGAGCGGAACACAGACAGATTGCAAGTATAGAGGGTTGGAAAGGACAGCTTGAACTCTTTAGGAAGTCGAGATCCAAATCCAAGCACCTGTTGACACACCTTCTCATATAAAACATCCGCTTGAGCTCGCTGCTCCAAACTAAGGCAGCCCAGTCTGAACAAACTACTAGCTTCCTGCCTTAGCTGTTTAGCATCATTGAAAGCTTCTTGTATGTTGCCCAACTCAAGAGTTGCACACACCTGCAGTAAGCCCAATAACGTACAATGAAACACTGTCAGAAGAGCACTTTATACGCTTTATTCTTTCCAAGACCTATTAAATTGCTCATCAACCCAAGTCTTCAGGAAAGCAGTGAACACTTTCAATCAAGTACCTGATAGAATGTCGACAGCAAATATTCCCCGGCATCCTGCGACTGAGGATTACTAGCATAATCATTTCTAAAAGAGTCTAGATGCAGATCTTCAGCCTCAGAAACATTGTCCAAAAATGCAGATGCGGGATTCTTTGTATGGTGAGGAGCATGAAGCACATCAAAGACCAGTACTGATGAATGGGAGGCCAAAGCACGTCCACTCTCTGAAACGATTACAGGTTCAGCTACACCTTTCAGTAAGCAAGCATCCATGAGTGCCGCGACAACGTCATTTGCGTAATTCTGCACCCACCTACATAAAAGATCAAAACGTATCGTCCAGAGTTTGACTTTAAATCAGAATCTTATAATGACACTCCTATGTCGTTGGTTTATCTGATGTATCCATGTGCATCGATAGCAGATACATAACATTTTTAAAAGATAAAATATTAAAAAACTATATGATTAGAATAGTGTGCGAAACATTACTTGCATATTGTAATTCACAGAGGCGCTTGAATGCCCCTTAGAACCATCATAGTCGATACCCAACCCTCCTCCAACATCAATGTAACCCTGCAAAGTACAGTTTCCACATCAACAAATTTAAAAATTAATTGCAATAGAATAAAAATAAATAAATAAAATCATGCACAGAAGTCGATTATGTACAGCAGTGAAAAAGATACCATAGGGGCACCCATCCGAGCTAACTCGCAGTAGGTGTGACTAGCTTCACGCATTGCCTCCTTTATAACCAGAATGGATGAAATCTGGGAACCTATATGAAAATGTAGAAGCTTGAGACAATCAAGCATGCCTTCCTGTGCAATTGACACAAAACCACCAACCCCTCCTTCAAGAAATGAGTGAAGGATAAAACACTCAGCATAGCGGTATGTTAGAGGAACTTGATCAAGCAACACGGCCCTGCCTAGGCTAGACTATATGTTTGATAAGAACCAAACATCTAAAAACCATTAAACTTCCAATGCATATTATAATTGAGAAAGAAAATGCATGAAAATGACCTGTCAATATGGAAAATAGTACAGACCTGCCTAAGCCGATAAACAACAGAAACTATCTGTGTGACAGTGAGACCGAATTTGGCCTTATCTCCAGAAGTTTCTCCCCAGTGCCCATTATGCTTAGTGCTTAGCTTGGCCCGCACTCCAATAATAGGGCGAATACCCAATCGCTGGCTGCAAGCAACTACCTCCTCTAGCTCCTCTATCTGACAGGCAAATTCAATACGACATCCAGGATTTGGTTGCTGAATTGATGAATATGATTTTTTTGCTTCACTACATTGCTCAATATAAGCAGAGATATCATCAGGAACAAAATGAAGATAAACCGTTTGAATGAACAATTCTTAACAAAAAATACCCACTTGTTCAAGTACAATTACAGCTCGAATACCCAGCCTCGTGGCAAGGACCACATTTTCCACGTATACTGAATCCTAACCACCATCAAACACACGCAGATAAATTTCAGCATGTTTCAAAAACCACGATCTTAGTGCACGACGCACACACAACAAGCATACGCTTCAAAGCACGTGCATGATAACAGTTACATACAAGACAGGATTAGATAAATCGTTACAACCGCAGCAAAGAATTAAAAGATCTGTGAAGAGCATGCCTTGTATCCATTGCAGATAAGCAGCGCTCCATCTCTACTGCTGAGTTTGGATAATGCTATCAGCAATTCTGGTTTCGATCCCACCTCCAAGCCGAAACCGAATTCAACAAATTGATCCAAGAGATGGCACTCAGGATTGCATTTAATAGGAAACACTCCTTCAAAATGCCGCTGTCACCCCCTCTCCCCACACGTTGATCAGATCTCCTAGCCAACCAGTAAACCAGGTTCTGAATAAATCACCAAATCATACTTTTAGAGCATGACTCTTGTTGAATGATACTTGACTCACCAAATTTTATGATTAGAAATCAAGCTTGCTCTCAGAAACTTCCAAAACTAAACAGCATTCAAAACCACGTTGCCAAGCAAGGAGGAATCCAAATCAAGGCAGAGAAAGAGCAACCTGATAGCCAAATTTGGCAATTGCAGAGGAAAAGCAGCCTTGCAACTCACGCATGCGATGATGAAGTATATCCGGGAACCGAAGAATGACGGGAAGTTGCAATTGCTGTGCCGTCAACGAATCTATGACTGCCATCATGTCCACCTCATCCCTTCCTGCATCCCCCCGCATATTCCACCGAGAAATCTTCCAAAACTCAATTCTCGAGGGTTTAACAAGAAACATCAAGAACGACCAAATAACAACAAAACTCACAGTGGTCGACAGCATTAACCCGTCACCCACCTTCCGTGCCACCGGAGGGCCGAACACACAGATGCCCGGCGACGTTAATTGCAAAATACGGAGCACCCCAACCGTGCAATCGGTACAACGCATCACTATCCTGCACTGTCCACTCGGCTTCCTCCTCCTCCTCCTCCACTTCACCTCCACCACCATCATCCAAACTCGTTCTTCCTACAAACCCTCCACCCCATGCGCTTCTCGCTACACTACTCACCCCCTGACGCACCAATCGCGTCCCAATCACGAACCGGCACCCCACTCTCGACAATTCACAGCCTGCTGAAAAGAAACTCAGGGACTCCGGTGCGTCGGGCGATTGCAGTGCTTGAGCTACGCAAGCATTCTTCCTCAATCCCGGTGCCGATATCTCCGCTCCGAATCCTTTGAGCTTGAATCCTCCTCGCAGCAACCCGGATCCCATGGTGACATGTGAGCTTCGAATTCAAATCTTTGCAATACAAAAAAATACCAAAAACCTCACTCGGCCGGTTGGAATTTCGATCAAAAGCTCTTGGAAACCTCGGAACCTGCGATCGCGGGTGAGACCCACTGCAAGCTCAGTTCTGCAGCTGCAAAGGGAACAGCAAAATCAAACAGAAGATAAAAGCATCAAACACAGGGAGCAGCAGCGCCGGATGCTGGAAAGGCACCAATTCGGATGTCGAACCCCGTCTCTTCCTCCACGCTAGGCCACCCTAAAACCCTTAGTATTGAGGGTGCTTTCCACCCCCAAAAGTGAGAGTTTTGCAATGTGGGTCTCGTGGGCTCAAGGTTGGTCATGGAGCAAACAGAAGTACGAATTCCACATGTAGAAACGTAAATCCAAACTGATAAATTCCCAACAAATTTTTTTGGGTAGGCTTTCTGTGTTCTTTTTTCTATTTTCTCTTTTATTAATTTGCTAATCTTCACAATGTTTTGTAAGAATCAAGTGTGCGAAACCTCTCATGAATTTTTATTAAATTGCTTATACTTTATCTTGGGAGACTATGATTCTAGAGAATATTATTTGTGAATGATCTTGCATGTTATTTTTATTACAATATTGTTAGAGAGGTGTACAAATATCAAATAGGTATTATTTTGTAAGCGTTATCTTTTTGTTGAAATCAACATTATTGTTTTTTCAATTGGTTTATGAAATTTCAAAATTTTGCAGTATTCTTATTATTTTGACAAAAGATGGTAGTTTTAAAAAATCTAAGTTGTGGAAATTCGTTTCATTGTTTCTACAACCATTAAAACAGCATTAACTTTAACATGTTAGACTAACATGAATCTAAACTTTATAAACCCAAAACACATCTTGCAAATATCAATTCAAAATCTGATTAGCTTTCAGATTAATATACCATAAATATTCCTTATAACTTATTTGGCACCCTAACAAATTGGAATGTGATTGCAAATAGAATTTTAAAATTATAATTTTTAAGATGAGGTATTTTTACATTCTTATAAAACTTAATATATTAATTACAACTTAATGAGGAAACTCCTAGGTGGACACTTCCCTTTTATTTATTGCAAGGACACCCCTTGGGTCACATACTCTAGTAAAAAATAACTAGTATAGATTTTTTATTTTATTTTTTAATTTTTAATTTGAAATTGGTGATGTATCCTTATCCATATGTATGCTATGGCTCCACAAAAGAACTAAAGGCTAAGATAATATGGAGCCATAGCATACATATGGATAAGGATATATCAAACTTTGGTATTAAAGTAATAAATATAATAAAAATTATGATTTGGAAATCACAATTTAAAATTGACATTAGTTTTTTTTTTTTTTTTTTTTTTTTTTTTTTTCCTTTTAATTTGTGGGGGTGTGGCACATGGTGTGTCCACTTAGTCGTTCTCTAAAATAAATAGCCATGATTAATAATTTATCATTATGTTTATTTTAAAAATCTAAATTGATATTTAGTAAAAAAAATTAATACACCATCTTATTAAAATAAATCATTTTAAAATCAAACATATAGAAAACTCAACATAATTATGTATAGATATAATTATAAATATCAGTATACAAGCAGGAATTTAATTCAATTTTATTCGTTTTTAAAAGCTTTTTTTAAACTATCCATATATACCAAATGATGTAAGAAAGTTAATGTAAAATAGTTTAAAGTTTTAAATTTTAAACCAAATAAATAAAATATTAAATACATTAACGAAATTTATCAGAAGCCAAAAATGAAGGCAATAGACACACATTCTTAACTCTTTTCCTATTACTTTTTTTTTTTTTCTTTCTCAAAGCACAAATTTAATTTTAAAGTATTTATTAAAAATAAAAAATAACATAAATAATATCTATATCCCAAGATTTTTTTGAGTTAATATAAACTTTACAATCACAAAATGCATCAATGTCTTTTACAAATCTTGAAAATACTAGCTGTAATTATTTTTTAAATCTAGTAATTAAAAATAAAATCACTCTTTATTTTTATATAAAAAAGGTGATTTAAAAATAAAGAAAAAAGAATAAATTTTAGAAGAAAATGCTTTGTATTACTTTTCTAGGAGTAATTCTTCACATTCGGAAGCTTGAAAACACGTTTGCCAAGCGTCTGGCCTCTGAGATCATCGCTCCATTGGTCCCCAATTACAGCCCCAATGCGAAATCCTTTGCTTTCAAGCTCAAGGCTGGCCTTCGTCTTATACTCAGCTAATGGCCCAGGCTCTGACCTGGTTGGTAAACAAACAGGAAAAAGCTTCACATCTGTGTCAACAACCTTGAAGGCTTTTCGGAAGGAGCCATCCAAATAAGATTACTACACATGGTACAGTGTAGAAGACATATCACACACTGGAGGTGTTACTTCACGAAGTCCTCATCTCGAAGATAGTACAATGAAATAGGAGTTGTTTGCAGTTACTGAGTGTGTTGTGGGTGAATGTTAACTGACCTCAGAATGAGAGTGTAGCCCTCGTATCCTGCATTGCTCAGGTTTTTCACGGTATCATTCCGTTGCGCTTCAAATCTTTCCGAGATGATGGCGAGGCTCCAGTTGAGAACTTTGAGTTCCCTGTAGAGGGATGCCATTGGTCCCAGTGGCGGCATCACTGTAAGGCTCACATGGTTGTTCCACGTCTCCAGCTTGAATGGCAACGCTCTGCACATTGATACACGCTGCTCCATTGAGTGAGAGGGCTCGTTTCAGCAAATATAAATTCTGCCATTGCACGTGAGATTATGCTCAGGAGAATCTCAGTTTCCTGAATCCACCATTGCAGATACGAAAATCTTGATAACGGAATTGAGAACTAGTGGGACCGGTTTTGAGGTTTGAAAGCTGACAATCCATAGGATCCTGACATACTGGAAGAAAAAACAGTTCTTCTACACAAGGCCATGTGTTGAAATGATCAGTATTAGTTGCGTGTCTATGGGTATCAGCGAATGAGCATGAGAAAAGATATCGAAGGGGTTGAAGAAAATTCTCACTTGAAATGGTGCTGCGTGTATAAGGATATGCTGGACAACATAGTGTCGTCAAGCTCAAGGACGACCATGTCCTGGCCATCGGACTCGACCACCACTGAGGCTAAGTAGGTCCTCGCAGCGTCGATGGCGTGAGCGCAGTCCGCATGATATTGGCCGGAATCGAAGTACAATGCCGAAAATGTGACGCAGTCCTGTGGGAGAGTCCAGTTCTGCAGATTGTTCACCTCGGCGTTCCGAGCAAAGCTGGCGCAGACATCAGGCTTGAGAATCACAATAGACTTTCCTTGGCACTGCCCTAACGTAGTCGACAGCGTCACCATCAACGTGAACAGAACAATTCCTACAACGGCCAAGGCTAATATAACAAACGTGACTGCATGGGAGGAGAAGTAGATCCCCATGTCGTCTATTAGCACATACGTGTTGCCAAACCCATATCTGCTTCCGAATAGCTCTGCACAGATGAACACAACACAGTCCTTGCTTCAGGCAGTCCCTAATCAACAAACACGAGTGACGATGCACATCGCTGCTTAGGCGGGGTTATAAACAACAGATGAATTCGAAGGATTTCATTGTCATCGAGACACAACCGCTTTCTAGGAGCGGCAGATCCAGATCCAGCCCTTCTACCCACTAGCGAAGTCCCTTCACACTACAGATTCAATGTGGTGGATTGCAAGGATGGCAGTTTTTCAAGGACGAGGCAGTAAATTAAACTGATCGCCACAAGTCTCAAGGTTTGACCACTATTTACAATCCCCTAGCCATACCTGACCCAAGCCTGCTTCCCAGAAGCGAATCTGTAGACTGGCGTAGGCTGCCGAACAGGAAGTTGAAGCTCTCCCTTCGAACCAGATCGTTCTCCGCATCAAGCCCCTGGCTCAACAGCCTCGACACGGTTGTTGAGCCCAATTTTTCATTCTCGCCATTCTCCTTCTCTAGGGAAACTAACAACGATGCTTCTACCTCCGCCATTTCTACTGCCTCTGTTCAGATTCCTCGGTCTTTTTTCATACTTGGGCATTCACCAACGCCGTCTCAATGGTCGAACCCCTCACTTGCACCACCGCGTCATCAATCCTTCTCTCTTTCCACTATAAAAGTACAAAATCCTCTTACACAGCGTCCCCTTCGCACATAAACTCAGACTTCTAATCGGCTAAGCATCTTCAAGAGCTTCACATAGGATCGACAACTTCAGAGTGGCTCCTCTTTATACAGAAAACTTCAATTGAAGCCAACAGATGCACACTGCACATTCCGTTAACATGAAAGAACATTGTACATCGAAAGCTGAAGAAATCAGCGGAGACAAGTTTTCTTAACATTGTTTGCGCTACTCGAATGTTATTGCCAGTTTCTCTTGGCACATTATTCTTGAAGGGCGTCAGTCCGCATAGGACGTCTGCACTGTGGATGATGCATGCTGTTGAACTGGGAATGAAGACGAGAGTCTTTCAAGCTTCAGTGCTGCGTACGGCAGGGCTGCTGATCTTCAAGAATATCTCGCGTACCTCGTTTGCTGCTGGAACTGTATCCATACTTGCAAGTGACTTCTTTTCTTAGTCGAAGCCGTAGTATAGTGAGATCATCCTCGTTACCACATTTAAGTTCGTTTCTTGACACTATCAAGCTTGCAATTCGCAACAATCTTCCTCTGCGAAACCCTCCCCGCCCCTTTTTAGTGTTCCAGCAATAGCCAGAGGTAGTGGCTAAAATTGAATCGACTGTCTGAATGTAGTAGGTAGACGACAAAATCAATACCCCAGGAAGAAGTGGTATACTACCCTCACGAAATGCATCTGCAGAAGAATTCTATAGTCTAGTGAATCAGTATAGTGACATTAGCGTGGTGAGGAAGTGTGGCCAACGTAATATTCAGTGTGGGACCTTGCGGATTAATGTATGCCAAAATGAAGAGAGTACTGCACGATCGGTTCCCAACTGTAGATGGAGTGATCTTGATAGGGAATCTGACAAAGAGTTTTCTAACCATGGGACCTACTCACATGATACCAATCATAAGTCTCCGCTCCACTCATCGAGTGACCCAATCGTTGAAGTTGCTGCATTGCACACTCAACTGGTAGCTATGCAAGTAGCAGTCGAAAGGCAGTACAACTCTTCGATTCAACTCATGCGGTGTACATTTCTTTACATGCTACGTATCACCACATTGCGAAGGAGAATTTGGCTTGAGGAAATATGGGACGAAAAATAAGGATTGAGATTCGATTGAGGTTCAAGATCTATGATTCCTTATCCTGCTCTGCAAAATCTTTCATTGATGGTTATTTGATTTACGAACATAAGGATTAATAAGCATTGTGATTAAAGTTGAAAAACATTCAATAAACGAACATGTACCCATGCATATGCTCGTATTTCAAAAGTCAGAAAAGTCACATGTGGTAGAATTTGTGACCTCAAACCAAATATGCATAAGCTTCACAGTCAAAAGTTATTTAAACCAACTATGATCTTGCATTAATAGCACTAGGTACTTGTAAGCGGTTGTTTTTTTCTCAAAATATCTGGTCCTAATTCTTGACAGTCCACCTATCAACAAGCTGACAAATATTTCTAACCTCCCAAAATAACCACTGAAACTGACAAAATGAGACCTTCCTTTCCCATCCTATCCCATTGTAGGACACGCTCTGGCATCCGTCATGATCATTGGATGATTCTAGGGACAGAACAGACTGACACAAACTCGCGTCTCCAAACAAATACAAGCATCAAGAATGATTTCTGGAAAGCAATAACTGTTGAGAAAAAATTTCAAGGAGACAACGCTTTGTAAGGTTCCAGGCGTTTCTAAATCACTAGAAACCATTAACTCGCAGAAAGAATTCTTATCCAGACAACTCTATATCCTTCAAGCGATGACACCAACTTCCTAAACCTGTTCATCAACTTTCAAGCTGACATGACCATCGGTCTCAGCTCCATTGTGGTATTCTGTCGCGTCCCTGAGGGATTAGCTTTGTATGCGGCATCATGAACACCTGTGGCAGCCCATGCCAAACCAATCCAAGTTGTTGGCCCATGCCTTGTCGCAGGCGATGGCAGCGACAGTACTGCATGCCACACTTGGCCCTCCTGGAACTGTAAGCCGTGCCGATTCCTGCACAATTTAGCCCATGAACATATGTAAATACCAAATCAAACAACATTTACTGTTTTCAAGGAAGCTTGAGATGGACGCATCAAGCCCATGCTTCGTCATCCATCATTGTCATCCCATATTGTGTTGTATCATATACATATATCTATATTAGTTAAAAACAACAGTATAAATGGTTGTCCTGTATTTAGAAGAGGCTAAAATTGCGAGGGTTAATTAAATTCAAGGAAATTTTTTTAAAAAAAAACATGATAGATATCGATCAAATTATATTTAATGAGAGTAGCTCAATCACGGTACTGTACTGACCTGTGGAAAGCACCTGTCGAAGATCATGCCGTAATAGTACGCTTCGTTGGTTCCTCAGGTGTTGTGTGGGTATACGTGCTTAGCATTAGCCAGCATTTGATCAGTAACCTGAAAAATGTAGAGCAGACGCAAGAATTTTACAGAAGTAAAACTTTTTGAAGAAATATGGAATACCTAGCATATCTTGCAAATTTTGGCCAACACCGCCGAAGCGTTACTGTCTAGTAAAAACTACAGAGGTGTTCAGTGATGGTTACGGGTTAAAGCTCGAAAACTAGTAGCGATGTTTTTCTTTTGCAATCCTCGAGACAAAAAAGGACTTGGCGGAAAAGTTGGAGACTAAATATAGAGTGCGTTGTGTATTTCAAATGCATTGAACTCTTCAATTCATAACATAAACTTTTAATGAGAGTTCAATCATAGCTGGGCAACACTTGACCTGGAGAATAATAATTTAGAAATTGTAACTTGAATTTAAAACCCAAAAATTAGCTACCAGTGATTAAGCTGTAAGTATCACTCGTGCGATTTATGACGTGGCCTCGTCGTCAATACTCGTCATGATTGAAACATCCTCGTCGACAGATGTGGTTTCTTCATACTTATTGGTCTTATTTGTATCCATATGGTGTTTCAGTATCCTCGCACATTCACTCACAGTGTTGAAATCTATATTTATTGAAGCTTTTTCAAAACAAGAATAAAAACTAAAAGTAACACGGCCAGTTGATCGTCATCTGTTCTTAGATTCCCAAATATAATCTGCATTTAGAAATTTAATCCTAGTTCGTTGAAGGATGTAGTGAAAAAATGTATTACCTAGCTGGCTGCATGTTCCTTTAAACCATCAATCCAGCTGTACTCAACACCGTCACTGAATTGCTCTTTTTGTCTGTACAAAATATGCTGCAATCACAAGTGGAAGAACTAAATCAGCACCCAAATCATTCACAAACCTTACGGTGTTCATAGAATTCAAAGTCCTTTCATTCATTAATTTCGTTAAAAACACGGCATGTTAGCTGAATTAATGTCGATGATAGAGCAAACAAGAAGTTCACACGATCCTCAGCTCTCTGAAAACATCGCAAATGATAAAACATAAACAACAGTACACTGTGCGCATTGAATTTAAACTAGTTCTATGAAGAATAGTGGGTTAAGCTACTCTTGATGATAACACCATTACCTTGGGCAAGTAGAGATTTTCTTCGTCATCACAATCTCTACACATGATCCACTTCTCGATTCTACCCTCTTTCACATTCACCTGCACAAACAATTTATAGCTTCATGGAATTCCTTAGAATCGAAGCAAACTTGGAATCGAAACGTAACACAAGAAAATTCAAAACGGTAAGCCAACAACCAGGAAGTGCACTGATTTCTTTAAGTATCTATAAAGTGAGAGTGACAAGTTCTGACTTAAAGATGAGAAATTTTAGATAGGAAGCGTACCATTTTCTCAGCAGGATCGATCGACATGGCAAGGTTCAGAAATTCCTAGTCCAAGAACGGTACACGAGCTTCCAAACCCCAGGCTGAAGTCGATTTGTTTGCTCTTAAACAATCATACAAATGTAGTGCCTTCAACTGTACACAGAACAGAAAAGTTTTGAATCAATACTTTGAAGCACAAATTTCAAACTTACCGACATGTATTTCACAAGGTTGAGGACAATAGTATTAAAAGTGCAAAAGATTTGAATACAAAGAAATTAAACAAGTTACAGACCTTCCTGCAAGTCTCTTTGTGAAGCTCCTCCTTGTTGGGAGCTTCGTGGAAGTAAAGGTAACCTCCAAATATCTCGTCTGAGCCTTCGCCAGAAAGTACCATCTTCACACCAAGAGCTTTGTTTTTCCGAGACATCAGGAACATTGGTGTGCTCGCTCCAATCGTCGTGACATCGTATGTTTCAATGTGATATATTACATCGGAGATGGCATCCAAACCCTCCTGAAAAATTAATAAAGCGTGCGAACTATTTAAAGCGGCTTATTTAAAACTTGCAAAGTAATCACAAGATCGGGTATTGAAGCAAATAGCTGCAACTATAAAAAAGACAATTACCAAAAAATTATCCTAACAAATAATCGTGCTGCACACAGGAGGAGAAGTGAACCTGGGCGGTAAAATGAAATTCTTTGTGCACAGTACCGAGGTAGTTTGCAACTTCCCTTGCGGCCTTCAAATCAGGAGATCCCTGGAAAAGAGCAATGCTTAAAGATAAATAACACAAGCTGCTGATAGAAATCAGCTTACAAATGCTTCATATGAGCCACTTGGGACTCCGCCGAAAGTTACGACGCGATTTGTCTCGATGGTGCTGAATTCTAGATCTTAAAGAGAAAAAAGGTAAATTTGAAGTTGGACATAAGTGATGATATTACATTCAATCAAGTACTACTTTCTTTAAAACACAGAATTGTAAAAGAAATACCTCCAGCCCCACACAGAAGGAATGAAGTTTGCTTCCCCATTGCTTAGCTGCTTTACTGCCAGCTTGATGTTGCTGAGCAACTGCAGCCACCAACGAAGAATCCAGGCCATCCGATAGCAGCATACCAAACGGTACATCCGTAATTAACCGTTTAATTACAGACTGCGGAAGCACAGTGATGATTAGAAACAGCGATTACCTCTTAGTTGCGGCGGGAACACGTTGAACCCTCTTGTAAACAAAACAGCCATTATGTACATACCAGCATCTATACAACTCAGGAGGACCCACTAAACTACTAAGATACTGTATAAAAATTATATCAGTAAACTTAATAGGGAGTCTGTGTCCTGAAAAACGTTGGGAAACATACACACACACACACACAAATAAAACATAAAAATAAAATAAAAATAAAAATTTATTTTGAACAAGCTAATTGAACTAAAATAGTACGAACTAAGCTAATGATGAAAGATATATCGCCGAATCATGGAAAGAGTGGTACAGGATGCAAAGAGAATGTTTATTTTATAGAATTGCTATACCAGCATGCGCCCAAACTTGTAAACTGCACAAAAGAAAAACTCAACCAAACGCTTCACTGGCAAGTAAAGCTACAAGTCACAGTGCAAAGCTTACTTCCTCAAAGGCATGTCGTAATTTGAGTGGGTCATAAGGTTCTGCCGGGACGGTTTCGTCGAACCAAGGTGGATTGTAGTATCTACGCAGACCACCTGCACAACCACATACATTTAAAAGAATTTAATTTTTAAAAAACATATTGAAAAAGAAGTAGAAGACTGCAGAAAAACTTGAAAAAGCGAAACTAATGTTGCTAGGATCTGTTGATGACACATTGAGAAAATACTTAACTAAATACACAAACGAAATTCAATCTTCGCTTACTCAATCGTCCCCTATCACGAAAAAAGGTGCAACATACGCAGAGCAACGATTGACAGACACTGACGCCAACACTAACACTCA